AAGCTCTGATTAATGCAAGCACCCTTACACAAACCATGCATAACCACGTTATTCAACAAGAACTATCGACTCAGCAGAACTTGGGCTACAGGTTTGAAGACATTATGTAAGAATCGAAATGTTACTCACCTAGGTAGGTAGGTACCTTGGTAAAGATGCACACGCCCGGTACAATTTACTATTCCGTTTCACAACTCCATTTGCCGTTTACACCGCCTGGTGCTGTGATCCTCACATCGCCTTGTGACCAGAACTTCTTAAGTTCTACCAACGCGTTACAAATCTTGTTCCTCGCCAACCAAACGCGTTCCTCGCCCACCATATTCCTCTTGGCATATTGCAAGGCGCAGCAGCTGAATTCCATGCCAGCTGGGCGTCCGGGTGATCCAACCGACCTTGGCCACTCAAGGGGTGAGCCATGTCAGGGCACTGTCGCCAACCGTTGGGCGCCGACGGCTTGACCCACACGAAGCTCGTGTTGTACAGCATTACCAACAGCATTCCTAGGCGCAGCCTGCAGAAGGCTAAAGCCATTTTCGGTTAGCCATTTTCGCCGGAATTGAAAACGCTGGGCTGGCGCTCCTCTAGATCGTTCCAAATTTGAAAACCTGGAATCCGAGCCAATGACGCGCCACAGCACGTTGCTCTTGACTCCAGCCATTTTCGAGTTGTTTGAAAACCTTTGAAACATGAAGTTACATTTTCACCATCATTACTTTCAGGCAAACGGCCTTTGCGGCCTTGATTTTGAAATAAAAGGTTTACAAGCTCCTCACCTTGGATCGAAACACAAAACTCGAGGCGTCACGGATCACTGGCAACACCCAAGCTTAATTCTTTCTCAACGCCACAACCGACGCTGTTGACGACGCAGAGGTACTCAACCATGTTACCCTTTCGCCCCAAACCTTCAGCGGAGGAGCCGGACCCCTACAATGCCACCTCTCACACGGTCCGCAAGCAGGCTACGACGGTAAGTTAGGTACTGGCGCCATTGACATCGATTATGCTGAGTCCTGACTCGGTCACAGGTTCCACCATCCATTCAAAACAATGACCCAGTTAGTTTGGACGACGACGCATCATCTAGGCCTGCTGTCCCCGCGACTGAAATTGTACCGATGGCCAACTATGAGGCACCCACGAATGCCCCTTCGGAAGCGACCCCATCTTCCTGCGGTGAAACCTTCTCCACATTCACAGCAGGTACGCGGTCTCGCTGGGCCGCCCAACCGCCGCGACCCCTTCTCGCGTTCAAGAATTTTATCGCTTACGACGATGCCGTTCGCACCCTACCTTTCAAAATTGATGAACATCCAGAGGCGTCGGGTCCTCGTTTACCAACTTCATGTCCTCTTTCATGGCAGTACGAGTTTTCGTGGAGGGGTGGAGCCGTCCTCTTCGCTGGTGATCCCTTGAACACCGCCCAGGCACACATCCGATCTAGTGAGCTCTGTGATGCCACTTTTGGGGACAGCGCGGAGCGGTCTGCCACCATTACAACACACGCCAGGACATGCAAGTCAGCGGACGAAGTGACGTGCAAGTCATGGGATTCGGAGGGCCTCAGGAAAGCAGCGTTTGAGCGAGGGCAAATCCAGAAAGAAATCGAGGAGACACGTGCCTATCTTCTGGAACAACTGGAGGCTTACTGGAGGTCGCATCCCCCACAAAGATCAGCCAGCCGACGAAAAGGGAAGGGTCCCGCCGATCAAGCAGGGCAGCGCCCTCCCGCTCGAGAGGTCAGTCGGCCCTACAACAAAAGAGGATTTGCAGGCGGTCGACGCAGAATCGGCCAAGGATGCGGAGATGGGGACGACGATGACGACGACGGCGAAGATGATTTGGCTCCAGCGGCAGGCTCATCAATGCCAAACGCACGGAAGCGGTGGTATGCATGCCCCTATCAAAAGTGGAGGCTACAGTACTACGTCTACGAGTGCGGGACTGGCTTTCGGAACATCACTGATGTGAAGACCCATCTACTCAAGAAACACTTCGCAATCACCTGCCCTCGATGCTGCGGTGTGTATGATGATGTCGATTTGGTACGGCTTCACGTTCTCAAAGGCTGTGGAAACCCCCCGAGAAGCCACCCTGACGGCTGCATCATGAGCGAACGACAAAGGGACACCATCAGCGCCCATTTCGGCGGCAAGAAGATGCTAGACCATCAAAAGTGGGAGTTTCTCTTCCGTACACTGTTTCCGAACGAACCACTTCCCGAGAGCATATACATGCTTCGCCAAGAAGAAGAATTTCGAAACTTTCTGAACAGCTGGGCCTGCTCGGTGGGGAAGGAAGTTTTCGACAATATTCGCTGCCAGGCTCTTTACAACCCGCAACTCAGATGGGGCGAGCCGGAGGCAATCCAACGGACGGCAGTAATGGCGCAGTTCATAACATTGAAGCTTCAAGATCGTGCGTCCTGGGAGCGCCGTGACGCCGACTTTGCGATGGCCCGACAAGACTTTGACAGAACCTTGTCCTCGGATGCTGGTGTCTCAGCGGTAGCCAACCATCAAACATCCGCTGCTCCCAGTTTAACTTGGGCTCACGACACCGTGGCGCAGTTGGCCCCCCACGAGTGGAACCCCCAACCCGAGCCAAACCCTTGGTGGCCCATGCCGACCATAGGAGAGGACACCGTTGTTTCAGGGTGTGCAAACACCAATATTGATACTCTGGGTCCGACCTCTGCCTGCTCCAACCGTTCATCCGGGTCTGGAGAAAGCCCAATAATCTCGCTCAACCAGTGCGATGCACTAGCTCCGCAGAACGGCCCAGCTTCCACTTTCAACACTGACGGTCTTGGTATCCCTGGGATCGACCTACCAGGGCCGTCCTCAGCTGCCCAGTGGGCGGGAGGTTACCAGCAGGGCGAGCCTATTTACCTCGATCCTTCCCATCTCACCAACGGAGCAGCACCCGAGCCGGGCGCCGGTGCCATTGTTGGTGTCGATGAGCACGCAAGGCCTTTGACAGCATGGAATCCCTGTGTACAGAGTGGGAACTGGGGTCTCCCTGATGATTCATTCAATCAAGTGTTTGACCCGTGGCGCATTTCGAATGACGACGTGATAAGTGAGGTGGTTGGCCGCGTGCAACGATAGGAGTCATTTCGGTATGTTCGAGTCAGTCAAATACATGTATCGTGCATTCGGGACATTCATTCTACTTCCATCGAATTCATATTTCCCCTTAGATGCCCAATGATAGCTTAGCCCTGATTGCGATCTCATGCAATGCAAACCGAATCTTAACCGTGGTTCACTTTTTTCAACCCTGGATCTGGAAATCCCAAGGTGCATTACATTTAAGGGGTCTCGTGTTTACCATCAACTCGCCGGAAACGGGGGCAGGGAGACAAGACTTGGCCCGGTGCCCATGCAAGTGCTTGCTTGGACAACAAGAAGGCGGCCCGAGTCTTATGCACGCTTCAAACCATTCCCAGAAAGTGGTGATTTAAGGGACATACCAATGCACCAGAAAGATACAAGAGCGTGGTTGTTTTGATTCAGATGAGTCCGAGTTTGCCGCAACTTCGATTCCCATTCGCCGCAGGTTGCCGTCCCCCGCATCAAGAGGGCTGAATTATGAAACCGAGTTCAAGACCGTCCTTCATTGCCCTCATGCCGTGCAAAGTTGGTTGGGCTCTCATGCAGGGCACCCAATTGGTGACCTAACTTCGCCCCCGTTTGTCAGCTTCGTAATACCTGAGCTTCCCCTCCTCCCCTCAACGTCATCTGGACGTCATTTACAACGATTCAAAATTTAAATCTTATTCTCAAATCACAATCTCGAGATTCTCCCAACTGCACAGGGGTACAGTACCATCCAGTCCTCCAACCACATCAGCAACATGGAACAACCAATCCCGTGGGAAAAGTAAGCACAACCTCCAGACAGTGCACCTATCATTTTGCTGTCGATCCGACAGGAAGCACGTGAGACTCGCCCCTAACAAAAAACCCCCAGAATCGCCTCCTCCCAACCCTACCGCTTCTCCATCGGGCCGCGGCAACGCGAATTCACCATGCACTCCGCAGTCGTGGAAGCCCAGTCCCCGGTCCTCAACACCTTCGTCAACAACACCAACTTCAAAGAGGCCGGCGAGCGGCACGCCTCGCTGCCCGACGTCGACGAGGACACCTTCATCACCTTCATCCAGTACGCCTACACGGGCGCCTTCGAAGTCGCCGGCACGGCGCACCAGCGGGACCGCCTCGCGGACGTGGTCCTCAAGGACTGCGCCAGGGACTACGACGACGACGGCGGCGGCAGCTGGAGCGCCGGCTACGACGCCCGCCCCGCCCGCTTCGTGGCCCACGGGCCGGGGCGCCGCCGCAAGCCCGATCCGTGGGCGGCCTTCAAGACGGCCGTGGCTGCCGCCCGCCCGAAGGGCTACCTGCCGCCGTTTGAGGAGGTCCTGATCGAGCCGGGTGATGATGTCGCGGATATGCTGATCCGCTATACCCGGCTGTATCTGTTTGCGGATTGTTATGGCATCGATCGGCTGATGGGTTTGTCGTTGTTTAGCCTGGGGAAGACGCTCATTGCGCTTGATCTCAAGACGTACAATGGGAACAGGGGGGTTGAGGAGCGGGTGCAGGATGTGGTGGCGTTGTTGCAGTTTTGTTATAATAGTAGTGACCCTGCGCCGGATCAGCTGACATCCCTGATTTTGCGCTATGTTGCCTGCAATGCGGAAAGGCTGTGGAAGAACAGTGATTTTCAGAAGTTGCTGGCGACGCACGCGGAACTCGGCGCTTCTCTGGTTGGGTTATTGGTGGAGAGGTTGGATTGAGGTTGCGAGTTTCTTGGACTCTTCTGGGAGGATGGCAGGACTGGGAGCTAATGCTTGAAGGGGGAGTTTCGTTTGCATTTTCAAGCTACCTTTAGCATCTTGACCGCATCAAGTAGGTATGTGCAGAGGCGCTTACCGATATAATGGCAAGCCAATGAATGGTCAGATGTCCCATATGACTCGGATGTGCCCCTCAATACGCGCTCTTCTGGGTTGTTTTGTTCTGTCCTGTGTTTATTCAAGAGGGAACATTACTACCGGGCGAGACCCATGAGTTGAATGGGCCTGTCACTCGAAGGACACATAGCATGTGTTGGTTGCCTCTGTTCGTCACCTAGCAGGGTAGATAGGGAACATTACTAAGCTCCTGGAACAATGCCAGCTGTTCATCAGCTCCATCTGCTTGTACGGCAGACTAGAACCTTGGTGTCGAGTTGCGGCGCCGCGCACTGTTTATGGAACTTAGAGGGTGAATCGCGGCAACTCCCCGGTATTTATTATCGCATTATCTGCTGCGAGACCAAAAATGAAATGTTGGGAACTAACCGCACAGTCCGCACTACCTCCTACCTCCCTCATCCAGGATCACAGCAAGCAATTTTGCAGTTGCAGCTACATAACATTACCGAGTGGCACGCAATTACACGGTGGGAACATCAAAGCCCGCCCACGGCGATACCACCGAGGAAGAAGGCGTCATGGAGAAAAAGGTCCAAGAGGAGTGGCCTTCGTGGCTAACGTAATTAAGTACTCGCACCGAACCACAGCAGCAATTTCCGAGATTACCCCTACTAACAACCCCCTGTTCTACTAGTATTGCGTCCTACAGACCCTTCCGATTTGTGGTGGGCCCGGATAAGCGCGAGTTCACGGCCAGCTCGGCCCTAATCGCACATCAATCGCCCGCTCTCCGAAAACTAGTCGACGGCGACTTCAATGAGACCCGGAATGCATCTGCCACGTTGAATTGGGCCGATGAAAACATCTTTACGCGATCCATCCAATATTATACCCCGGGGACTACGACGCGAGCGACGATGGTCTGGAGTTCGCTCGTGTTGATGCTGAACATGCGCCGAAGTCGGTCGCTGAGGTACAAGAACCGGAACTAGTTACGGGTCTCAAGAGAGGACGACCAGAAACCGAGACACAACGGCCAGAGGCGCCCAAGATACCACGTTTGGAAAAGACGGGTCGGGGGGAGGTGAAAGCGCGAAGGATGTCCCGGTACAAGGAAAACAACCGGCAAGATAATACCCGACAACGCGAGAGGAGACGTCTTTGGGACCGGTTTATTAGGGTCGCAAACCCGTTCAAGAAAGGCATGCTTGAGGCCAGCGTGGACCTGGAGAAGGACTTCAGCCAAATCTTCCTCTGCCATGCCAAGATGTATGTCTTTGCTGACTATTACGGCATCTCGCGTCTCATGGACCTTTCTCGAGAGAAGCTCGGGCATTTACTGATCGCACTCACGACCGATATGGAGTTTCACGGCCAAAGACTCGCAGATTTTGTCGCCTTGGTGCGATACTGCTACGATAAGCCCTCACCCGAAGCGCTGCAGTCGTTTGTGATGATGTACAGCGCTTACCACGCGAAGCTTCTCTGGAAAGATGCTCAGTTTCAGGAGCTCCTCAAGGACGACGGCGAAGTGGCATTTGCCTTTATCAAGGAGGTAATGCCGGCGTACCTAAACGCCAAAGACGGGGTTTCGTCGGAGGAATCATCATCAGAGAAATCATCATCAGAGAAGTCACCATCAGAGGAGTCATCATCAGAGGAGTCATCGTCAGAGGAGTCATCACCACGGCAGGAAATCCCCAAACCCCGGCTACCACCGATCGGAAGGAGATTAACCTTCCGAGGTGGCCTGCCGCCTATGAGATAGATGGAGGATTAGCCATGTCACGCGTCAATTCTGCTCGCACATCGTTCGCTAACAACTGGAAACATTAGTAGTTTGCGCCCTGTTAACCAATTCGTAACTTGCTTGCAGATTTCATATTAAATTGATATTACTGCCAAAACTTGAACTACCGACTGATTAACACTATCGCCATGTATCCATGTATCATAGTTTGTACAACACTAGTAGAGATATTTCTCACTGTTTCGTCCGAACCTGCCTCCGCCCGCTCGGAATCTTGACTAAAGTCTGTTTAAATAAGAAGTAGTTAAAGAAGCCTTGATCACCACAAATTAATAGGGGCGCGTCCGAGCAAGCCTTGCTAGCTCCGTTTCAGTCGGTTGCCCAACGGCGCGTCTCTCTTCGCCCAGGCGCCGCATGTTTGCGAGAGTTTGAGTCGCTTGATTGGTGGCATTTCAGATCTTGGTTGATTCTCCGCCCATCAGATCGGCCCACATACCAGTTTCGGCCATGGTGTTGCAACTCTGGGCTGGGGCACAGGCCTGAGGACCACGAGGAGCTCCACTTCGCTAAATATCTAAATCTGTCAATGGTAAGGTCACTAACTGAGCAGGGTTGAGGAGGAAGACAGTCCGTGGCTTGGGGTTGGGGTGCAAGTGATACTCCCCAAGTCGTTTCCACAAACCACAAGCAAGAGTTCTCACAAATAGTCAAGGAGCGCAGGAAACGGAGCTGAACAGCTTTCTGTTTTGTCCTGGCGGGTCATTTACCCCTTCTTCGACTCCCGGTATTGACGGAAGTCTTGCTTCCAGAGCTCGGAGATATGAAACACTGGGTTATGAGTGGTGGAGAAAAGGGGGGATTTCACGTCGTCTGCGAACACGATGGCTACCGAGATACAAAGACGGAAACAGCCGTCTTGTGGATCTAGGCTGGGTTCCCAAGACCCCGGTAGCCCGACGATCAGTGATAAAAGGAAACCGAGAGCCATCTCCAAGATTCAACTTCGAGCTTCAGGAACCAGCCAAACCCAAAGTTCACTGCCACCCAGCTTAAGCTCAAAGATGCACCGCTACGCCGCTCTCGGCTTCTTGCCGGTCGCCCTCGGGTGTCTGAACCCCAACACCAATGCCTGCGCCAGTTACATCAGCGCCAACCAGGCGACCGCGTCCGCCTTCTGCGCTACCTTCACCCAAAGCGCCGTGACAGCCACCACGGGCCTTCCCTCCTGGGCTTCCAACTGCGGAAACAAGCCGAGCCAGATCTCCAAGGAGTGCTCGTGCTACTTCACCGGCGGCAGCGGCCCGGCACCCACCTCGGCCTCTGGGAAGCCGACCACGCTGGTGACCACGACGGCCAAGGCCACTCAAACATTCGGCGGCGTCACCACCACCCTGCCCAAGAGCTCCGGTGCCACGGCCACGTCAAAGCCCATCACCGTTGCTGCCGGGCAGACTTACGACGGCGGCATGAAGAACTTTGATCGTTCGCGTATGTGTCTCGTAAGCGAAGTTGACTTAGATATGAAACTGACAGCCACCAGCCAAGGTCTGCGCGGAGCAGGAGGAGACGGGTGAGGCCGAGGCCATGTTCGTCCTCCAGGACGGTGCCACTCTTTCCAACGTACGTATCGAATAATGTCGAGAGGAATCGAGCACAGAACTAACCATGTTTTAGGTCATCATTGGTCCCAACCAAGCTGAGGGTGTTCACTGCAAGGGCACCTGCACCCTGATCAACGTCTGGTTCGAAGACGTCTGCGAAGACGCCATGTAAGTCCACCACCATCCCACCTCCCCCCGCCTTAACCGCACCCCCCCACTACACGTAACCACTAACCACCCCCTCCAGCACGCTCAAACAATCCAGCGGCACCTCCAACGTCATCGGCGGCGGCGCCTTCCACGCGTCCGACAAGATCGTGCAATTCAACGGCTTCGGAACGGTCAACATCAAGAACTTCTACGCCAACGACTACGGCAAGCTGCTGCGCAGCTGCGGCAACTGCAGCAACAACGGCGGGGCGCGGCACGCGGTGCTGGACGGCGTGGTGGCCGTCGACGGCGGCGTCCTGTGCGGCATCAACACCAACTACGGCGACACCTGCACCGTCACCAACAGCTGCCAGGATGATGGCAAGAGCTGTGATCGCTTTACGGGGAATAATAGCGGCAAGGAGCCGCCCAAGATTGGGAGCGGGCCGGATGGGACTTTTTGTAAGGTTTCGGGGCTCACCACGAACTGTTGAGTGTGAATGAGGGGGTGAGATGGGGTTGGGGGTGAGTGGGGGATGGGCTCCTCAGTACATACTTGTTTAGCTGCACATACTTTGAGTCGATAATTTTATAAAGACATCGACGGACACCGGAATTTACATATTGGCTAATTGCCGTTTGGTTCTGGTAGTTAATAGCTTTATTGCGTCTCATCCTCTGGATGGCGGTCTCTTTTCAGCAGATATCGAACCGGAAGGCCTGGTTGTAGTTTCGAGGTTGCCGTTTCAAGGGTGTCCACCGGTACCTAGGTAAGGCAGTTCGCTACCTAGACCTTGACCAGCTGCTCCCAATCTTCCAGGCCCTAGGCTTATAATAATCCATTTTCCTTGCACCAACCGGCCCTCCCCACGCTAGCATTATTCGTCCTCGTTCTCGATCCATCGCATTAGTCCAGCCGCCGACGCTGCCTCTCTAGGCCTCCCCCACTAGATAGACACATACCCATCAACGAAGCAAGCGGTACTGGAATGAACAACAGAGCGGCATAGATCCAGGCCACGGAGGTTAAAGGTAAAACCGAAGGGAGCGAAATGAAATAAACAAGAGCTTGGAACGGAATGACAATAAAATGAAGACAAGGGATTATTTTGCGGCTCGATCCGGCCATGCATTTGGCGCCATGTGGTCGTTGGGGCCTGCTTTCCTGGGATGGTTATGGTTCCAGTGAAAGATGCCCAACTGGATGAAGTAGTGAATAAGAAAGGGAAAGGGAAATAATAGGCAAACCAGTCGGGCTGTGGACCTGCTGTCTCTCAGATTGAACCCATTTTTGAAGAATTCTTGCCGTCCTGGTCTAGTGTTCATACTGTCGTGAACAGTATGGGTGTCCATGGCGACTCGAGATCTGGGTTTTGTCGTTTGCCTTTACGAGTTGTTTCACAACTCTGAGTCAATGTCAACAGGACGGCGGGTAAGTCTACTTGGAATTGCAACCAGAGAGTTTATATTTCCTAGCTGCCTTGTTACTTTTGGGGCTGTGTTAGGTTTGAGCGGCACAAACCCCATTGTTGATGTTGGCGGCGGCGTTCAATGCCATGCGCCGCGCGGGGAACGTAGCCGTAACTCTTTGCATTGTTCAGACTTCAGATCTCGAATCTGCAACACTTACCGCCGCAGACCCGGATTAGAGAATGTGCCGATGTTGCCCTCGCGAATACCTGGTCTTCGGTGGCGAGCGGCTCAGTACTACAAATGGTCGGCCATACCGCGGCGCACATACTTGTAGATCCGGACGAGCCGGGGACGGAGCGGAATTAGAACGGCATTGGGTCTAGGCGATGCGGCACAGAGGTGGCACCACATCGGCCCAAGCGCGCGTGGTGAAACGAAAGAGGCGGGCTGACTACGCCGCAATATCGGACGTTTCGAGGGAGGGAGGTGGTAGGGCTGCGCCGCATCTCACCGTCCCACTGCAGAGTCGCACAGAGACGATTGGTAATTCCTAAGTTTGGACGATCAGGGTTGAAGTGCCTTGAGTGGTATTCGCTGACCATGGCCGAGGTCAAAAGCTGGCATACTTATACTTTCGCAACCCTTGCAACAGCCTTGTGGGCAATGGGTTTTTACATTTCCACCTTTGAGGTATCATGGATCCATCTGGAGGACCACAGGGAATACCAGTCGATGATCTGATCGATGGCTTGGCCGGCATCAAGAAGATGGCATTCAAGGTGGGTGCATTATTCCCAAAGAGGCTCAGTGTCACATGCCTAACTCGCGGTGGACAGGCCGCAGTGGCCGTCTTCTTCGCCCTAGCAATCCTCTCCGTTCTGGTAAGGGCAGGATTCCGCCTCCGCGCAAGACAACCTCTCACCTTGGACGACTATCTCGTTTTCGCAGCAGCCATCCTTTTGTCAGGGGGGACTGGTCTCCTCTATAACATCTGCGACAACCTTTACCTGTCCTCGGCCATCCATTTGGACCAACCCATCACGCTTCACCTGGGCTCTCAAAGCATAGCCGACCTAATCGACGCGGTTCAAGGATACCGCTCCTATCTCGTCATCGCCTGGACAGCAATATCTTTGGCTAAATTTTCTTTTCTGGCCTTCTTCAGGCAACGGATCGGGGATACGCGCAGTATTCGGTTGTATTATTGGTCTCTGGTTGCTCTAACGGCAATATCATGGCTTCTCTGCGTCGTGGAGCCGTTCATTCTCTGCCCCAACGTCGGGTCCGGATCCTGTAGGTTTAACTCCGGGCCCCTTCCGGACTGGATGCTAACCATTTTATAGCATGCTTTGCAGACTCCGATGCCGTGGTTCGCGCCTCCGTTACCGGCCTTACCACGGCCCTTGACATATTAACCATCGTCCTGAGTACGCTCCCCCTTTACCCCCTTTCACCCCTTTCCCCACCCCAACCGCTTTCCTCCCGCAAAGCTAATCCCAACCCAACCAACCCAAAACAGTCACCACCATCCCCATCCTCCTCGCCCTTCCAAAAACAACCAACCCCCCTCCCCAACAGCAACAACAACCTTACCCCCGAACCTAGCACCTCACCCATTCTTACCCCCCCCAAACCACCCAGCTCTGCCATCACAACAGCTCTCATCACCACCCTTGCCCTCACAACCGCTTCGTTTTCCGCTGTCCGCGCCAGCAAAGCCTCCACCGGCACCGACCTACCCCAGACTGCCTTCTGGCTGGCGCTGCAGGCGAGCAGTGCCCTTCTGGCGGTAGGGTTGGGGACTTTCTCACGCTCGCTGCTTGGCGGGCGGGGGGTGGTTGAGGGAGGGAATTTGACTGGGGAGGGGGACATCCAAGCGGAGGAGGCCCGCGGGATTCAGGGAAGGGCTGGCAAGGTGAGGTTGGCGGGGTTATGGGGGTTGGTGAAGGGGGTTGAGGGGCGTGACGGGCAGGAGGTGTCGCAGCTCGGGACGGTGGTTGTGGTGGGGGAGGAGGCGGACGGGGTTCCGCCCTTGAAGGAGAAGGTGGGAGCGAGAGAGGAGGTCCGCCAGACTACTTCGTCGCCGGTTCCGCGGAATCCGCCGATTGCGTACCATTATCCGGTGAGTTCATGTTGCCGTGTTGGTTCTTGCTTGCAGGGGTTTTGAGTGCTGATGTTATGTATGTCTCTGATCACAGATGTGGGGACCGCAGCCCACACACGGCCAGTTTGCGACGGAGGACGAGGCGCGGGCGGGCCAGGACCTTATATGGCTCAACCCGTCGTTGCAAGCGAGCCAAACGAGCTTTGGGAGCGCAACGCTGTACGAACGGAGAGGTTCGGAGCGGAGAGGGTCGGAAAGGAGAGGGTCAGAACGAAGGGGGTCGGAACCGGTAAACCACATCGCACTAGTAGGCGCTATTGCAGAGTGTAAAATGTAATGGTACCATCTCTCACGAGGCTCGCCCATTTAGCACACAAGATATTTCCAGTGTGGTCTCGAGCGGAGGAGAAGTTCGGGAACAACGCCGCCAAAGTAAACCTATAATTGGAAATATCAAGAGCCAGCACGCTGCCTTGTCTACCGAGTATTTCCATCATCTCCAGCGGCCACTTCTACGGGACTGAAGAACCCCGCGCAGTAGTATCGGTAGTGCGTTGCTGAGAGCCCCGTGTCACCGTCGTCTCCCTCGGCTTCAGGAGTGCGACTGTGCAGAACATCGCCTCCGATTCCCGCTTAAAAGCCAAAAACTTGCCAAAGAACTCCGGCGTAGCATTGGGGACCTCCCGCTGTGTCGCGCATAGCCTCCTGTTGCCCATGTAGCCAAGCAGAAACATTATGTCCCCACCATCCCTCTTGACCATGGCCTGGTCCCCGCATTCTGCGTGCTCTGTCCAACACTTGCACTTGTGGTCGAGCAACAGCACCGGCTTCAGGACGCGAACGCCGCTGATCATGATTATGCCAACAGCCGAGGGCGGGAACGGATGGCCGATCTGTTGCGGCTCCCAGAAGTAGACTCTGTACCTGTGCCCGTCCAGCCCCCTGTACCAGATTATGGCCCTGCTCCTCCTGGCCTTGTGCGCCCCGAAATGGACGCTGTTGCTGTCGGCAAATTTCTTGGCCAACTGCCCGCTACCGCCGGGTACGAAAATGTCGATATCCGAGGTGCGCCGCGTCTGTCCCAGGAGCCGGAGAGCGATGCCGCCCATCAGGGCGTAGGTGGTGGCCCCGAGAAGTCCAGCCAAGCCAGTGACTAGATCCGGCAGCAAGTCGGGCGGCATCGGGCACCGGGCCATAGTGGGCGGATCTTCGGCATCCTGAGGAACCGCCTTAGGCCTGGCGGGCACCACCCTTCGTTTTGATCCAGGTGCCGGCACGTTTGTGGGAGCATTATCTGCTGAATCTCGTACGGCCATGTTCTTGTCTCGTTGGTTAGCTAATGCCCCTGCAGGTGTATATGAGAGGTATAAATCTGAATACCTAGGTATGGTTATTGGCCTTCTTGGAGGAAAAGGGTACGTTCCGTCCGTCTGGTAGCAAGGTTCCTCGCAAGGGGAAAGGAAAAAAGGTTATTGATGCGACTCACATGTTAGCACAGATACCAAAATTGCGCCGGGAACAGGGCCAGTTTATACTTGAGGCCCAAATCCTACGATGGCCTACGGTGGTCTCTCGTCCAGAATGTTGAAACCAACTCTAAGGAATGGTAGTTATCAAGAGCAGGATCATGATGACGTTCTGGGCTGTTACACTCAAAGGCTGTAGCCAGCGATAAGGCCAACCTGTTACTGAGCGAGCAGGATTGCGAGGATGCAGGAAGCTGATAATTAACGCCGCAGGACCGGGTCGGTTTGGCCACCACCCCGGCTATGCTAAGGACCTTGGTCATTCCAACCAACGTCCACCTACGCCGCAAACCATATGGTGACATTACCTATCTTGGCGAGCTGCGCAGGGAATAACAACTAACCAGTGTCAAACAAGAGACGAGACTTCTATACTTCAGTTGGTTTCTATTTCCTCAACACCGTAATTCTCATATTCACAACCCCAGCACGCCTCTTCGGTATCGGTTTGGTCTTGAATGAAGAATAGATAAGCAGCACTCATGTTACGCATCAACGTCGAGTGACAGGCAAGAGGAAAGCATTCATGGTTGAGTTTCATCTAGGCACCTAGATACCGGAATAACCACGGATCAAGGAATTATTATTTCTCTTATCACGCTAGGTACCAAGTACATGCGGTCCCTCAGCGATTAACTCGGTAGGAAAAACCATGCCTAAGCTGGATGAAAACCTCCGCACCTCCGCTGCGGCCTTGCCGCTACCCCGTGGATCCAGCTCTACCGCCAGCCGGAACTCGTTTCAGCCTCCCCAGCCCAAGCACCCACCCCACCACTATGGCAGCCTTCTCCACGTCATCTAGCCACTCCAGTAGCTCTGCGCCGTCGTCTGGCCAGGGATGAGGTTTATCTGCGGCTCCGTTGCATTCGAGTACGAGGTGTTCGAATGTCTCGCGCGCCATACCGCAGCGGCATACCGGCGTTACCACCTCGGGGACCCTCCTAGTAAAGAGGAACCCTCGAAGCACAGATCAAGGAATGTAAACCACGAAACCGTAATAATGGCCACCCCACATCATACATTCCTCAAACCGACATTCCGCAGTTCGGTCGCCCCGGAGGTGGCGCCACTCCCGCGGTCCCTCTCACTCCATCCCCGATCTTTCCGCCAGCGTGCGAGGGAAAGCCGGGCAGGTGAGGACGGCCACTGCAAGGTATCGTGCTCACTGGCGCGCCAGGCAGTCATGATGACAAGAGTGAGTGGGAGCGCAATGACCCACAAGATCCAGAAGTCTGGGTTGACGTCCATGTGCTGCTCTCCATAGTCGAAGAACTGCGTGCCGAAGATGGAAGTGACGGCCGTGAAGGGAATGAATACCAGCCCGACGATGGATATCAGCCGCACACTCCGGCTGTTGTGGAGGTTGACTTGGCTGTCGTGGGCGGTGTTGATGTGGAATGCCTGTCATAGAGTCAGCATAGAGGTAGGTACATGGGTACCTATTGATCTTAAAAGAGATAGTGAATCGGCACCACGTACCAGGTCTATAGTGTTTTTGATCCTTGCCTGGCAACTAACAGTCCTCAGCTTTGTCGAGTGAAACAGCTCACGGCGGTGATGCAAAAGCCGATGGGTGTTCTCCCATAACCTATCGCCCCTTTGCGATTGTCCAAAGAGTTCATGATTTGATAAAGTCGAGTCCACCAGCCTGATGGCGGCATCCAAGGCCTCGATCGTGAAGATGGCGTTCTTTGCGCTTGTGTGGATACGATGAAGGTCGAGGTCCGTGACAACAGACTCGGCCGTCGACTTGAGCTTTCGCGCGCGCTGAAAGATATCCTCCTCCTCGGCGCGGATCAGGTTTGTTACATCCCACGCGACCTTGTCGATACGGTGATACCAGGCAACCAGGGCAATGTCAACCAGAACATAGGGGTCGAACGTCGCAGTTCTCCACCTGGGAGACTTGACAAACTCTACTAACCTCTGGAGGGCTTCGACGGGCGGGCTGAAGAGGAGCAGCCCAACGGTGTAAGTCATCTGTGTTACCTCCGGAGGAGCTGAAGAAGAGTTAAGAGGTCGTCGAGCTTGGGCTGTTCTGGGCAACCAGGTAAGGATGAATCCAGATTTTAACCATTCCGGTTGTCGGTCCAAGGAATCCATGCTCGGAACGGCGCCGAGGAAGTGCATCCACAACACTGCATTTCCAACACTGTAAGGTCAAGTACACGGAGGGCTTTGCTGGGGCTCTAGTGTTTGATGGGGCTTGAACGTACCGTCCCGGCCATCTTCGTCGGATTGGCGCCCAAACGAGTGGGTGACGCTCGTTTCGCGCTCCCATACAAACTCATCTGGTATGTTGAATTGTTTGATAAGTGTCTGGTATTCTGTCTCTGGGCCGCCGTATGTGCCATCCAGCGGCGCAATTCTAGCGTACGAGATCAGCTCCAGGCCGACTAATCAGGTTGAACTTTGAAGTGCAAGATGAATCTAACGAGAGCACGAACAGAATATCTAAATCCAGCTCTTTAGACCATCCCGTAAGTTCACCTGAAGAGCTAAACTGAGCTAGTGTGGGAGCCTCGTCTTTATGAATGAGACGCGGGAAATTGGCAGTCAGCTATTACCAAGATCAAGGGGGTTGTGGGCTGGTGAAAGGATTCTGCACACCTTGTCGCCTGCAAATCCTCTGGAACCCAGCTTGTGACCTGTGTACGGTATATGGAGGGTGGCTCTGCATCGTCCATACCCAGAAAAAACAAAGATGGAATAGATACGGCCTGTTCGTTATACCCGCGTCAGGAGGTACATGTAGCAACTAAGGAAAAAGCAAATTGGAATCGGGCGCCAATGTGTCAAAGGGATAGTTTGGGGTGGTGTCCCAAAGAAGCAGGTAGATACAGAGATCCTTCACCATCATCTGGCTACAGCCTCGTGCGGGGGCCGCTACGGAGGCTTCATTGCGAAACTGGGCGAAAACCCAGATTTTCAATAGATCCACCCCGCCCGTCAGATTTCAGCCTCACCCACCGATTCCATATCCCCACTTTGCAATCGCTTTTCTACAACTCCTACTTTTTATTCCACAAACCACCATCTTCACCTACCCCGGTCTCTCTCGCGCGCTTCTGAGCCCAATGACACCCGTTCAAGCCCGGTGGTGCGTTTCTCGCTGCGCTTATGGCAAGCTGGTTTCTTGGATACTAACATTTCATTGGTCTTGTATTTGTCGATCGCACCTCCCAATCAGAAACCCAAAGTTTCATGGCCATGACTCAATTCTGCTAATTGTAAGATGGGGAGAAAGGAGGAGAAACTGGAAGAGCTCTCGCGGTGCAGAGGCGAAATGCAAGAGCAGGTGGTGCGTGCACTCAGTGACCGGTGCTGCCACATGCACTCCGACGGCAGGCGCCGTCACATTCCCCCCCTCCAAAGAAGACTAGTCCTCGAGGGTTGCAACTTTCTTCTAATCCCTTTTCCTGCCAAAGATAGGCTCCACATCGGCGTCGGCGAGGTACTCCCTACCCGGTACAGGAGTGATTTTAGATTCTTGAAGGTGCTCTTCTCAAAAATGTAAGTGGCGATTGCCACAGCACGGGTCTGGTTGTTGAGTTTCGGTCGTGGCGTCTGCTCTGTGACAGAGCCTCTGTCCCTCGGTGGTGCCGCTGTCGTAGGCGCGCTCCGTCAGCTCCAGCGGCTTCGACTACCAGGTGGACGAACTGAGCTTAAAAGCCATGATTGTGAGAAACCAAATTTGCTTTAGGAGGTTGGCGCGACTGGAATAATGCGTGGAAACGTTGGTGGAGTGGATGTAAGTAGAGACGAGCGCCCTTGGAATTTGGAAGCGGGCTTGAACAGATGTGATTGAGCTCGGAAGCGCGTAAGGGAGAAAGAAGTGGCTGAAAACAAAACTCGCTTTGTTGCAGAATGTATTTACTGGATGGGGAAATGCAAATATGCTAACTAGCTAAAATTGCCCGGGCGTGAACCGAATGATGGAATTTGGGTTTTTGCCCAGTTTCGCAATGAAGCCTCCGTGGTACGGTACGTACTTACGGACGGTACTACGTAGCCGCTGAAAACGTGGGACAGAGCCGAACATGATCCAGCGCGGCAGGCAATTTTGAATATATTATCGTCACACCACCAGGCACCCCCTTTCCTTCGCCAGGTGCCAAAGCTTCTTTCCGAGGCCACCAATCAGAACAAATTGAGCCACACCGGTGAAATCGTAGCTGCTGTGCCTTCAGCCGACCGCCCGGTTTATTGCTGCTTCATGCATGACAGAGCCACAGCCTTGTGGCCCCCCTCTCCTGAGGTCCCTCCCCTTGCAGACTGCAGGTTAGCTTCCTACCTACACGGCCCCTGATGTGCATAAGTACCCTGCCGGCCATGAGGAAATACATTTCTGTTCTCTCCCACCGGAGTTCATCATTCCTTTGCGGCCTGGGCAAGCAGGGAACGCCCCCTGATCTATCAAACCGGCATGGCATCTAGGGGTAGCAAGTCTTCCGGACACCACGGCTCAGGCGCTAACCCGGACCAAGCTAAGTATCAAAAGTATCTCGACCAACTGAACAGTCTGTTCCCGTCGCCAGCACCTCCTGCTCCCCCAGTACCTCCTGCTCCTCCGGTGTCTGATCCTCCAGCACCGCCCGCCCCTCCAGTACCGCCCAACCGTAAGTCAAATACGGAGGACGGAGGCCAATGCAATATCTCAGAGTGAACACTACTAACGTGATACTCCTCCCAGCCTCGGCCGCGTCAAGAAATCGGCAGCCTCTTCGCTAGTGTTTGGCAACCCTCACGCAACCCGTGCCACCACCCTCTGCCTCGCTACCTCGGCGGGGACATGATATCACAGGAGACTCGAGTCGCCGCTGGCAACGCGGCGACCCATCCGAACCCGTATCTTGACGTACCTAGCTGGTGGTCCTACTTCTTCGGTGGCGGCTTTTCATGGCGCTGGTTCTCCAGCCCCCACCTCTACTTTCCCTCAAACCTCGAATACCTGCCAAGCCCTACCACTTTCACTGTCATTGATGGGTTAGGCCGAGAGAAGACGTACGATAAGCCGTTCGAGTGCTACATCGACCCATTCACCGGCAAGATCAAGGAACTCTACGTCCAAGCTCCGGCCTCTCTCTGTCACCTGTCGGCCAAGTCTCCAAACGCTACATGGAGACGCACGCCCATCCGGAATGCCACCTCCACCCTCCTCCGCATAGCAAACCTTCCATACCGCCTCATTCCACTAGAGCGGAGGGGCGACGTGCACAGGTTCACGGCCCGCGACTGGCTGACCCTCATCCTTATGTGGATTCCTTCCGTGACTATCTTCGTTTTTGCGGCGAGTACTCACATACATTCCAACAAGATATGGTTGTACTTATGCTAACAGGTTATTAGTGGCTGGTGATGGCGATTGGCACCGACTCAAGCCCCCCTGAAGGGAAGGATCCGACACGGTACCTCCCCCTGCTGTACAGCGGGCTTCGATACCCTCGGTTGGCGCGCAATATCCTCGAGAACCGCGAACAAGTGGCCCAACGGCTCAACGGTTACGCCACCTGGAACACAGAGACGGCCCTCTCCACCTACCGGACCTTCCGGCCCCGCTTTCTGAATTATTTAGTCGAGGTTGAGGGGAACGGGCAGCCGACATACCACTACGAGCGCCCGACCGGTGGGCCCGAACGACCTTGACACCACCCTTCGTCATGATATGCTACTCCTCTAAACACTACACCATTTTCCGACCAAGACCACGCCGATGGTGACAATGATGACCTGGAAGCTCTTCTTGCCGTGGGGACAAAGGCAGCCGCCGAGCACTTCGGTCTGCTACCTCGTGACCCAGAACAAAAGGCGCTGCCCCTGGATCTGGAAAAGGAACCGAGAGCGTTCTGGGTAGCAGCAAATTGCATGCCATACAACGAAGTCACTGACGAAGATGGGAGATCCCGCAAGGTAGAAGGGCTTGAACAAGAGAGACTTGGGAACCAAGATGTGAGTTTCGCTCAACCCAGCGCCTCTTGTGTCTTAGTGTTAGCGGAGTGATAGTTCCCTAACCTGCTGTCCTTTTTCAGACGTATTCCATCAGCGACATTATACCGCGCCGCCAAGCACGTCATTGTCGTGGCTGGCAACATTCGGCGCCCCTGGCGTGACGATGCGCTTCGCGTCTGGGGCCAACGCGTATGGACTCTGCCTGAAATAGTCTTGAGTAAGGGAGATACGGTGACAGTCTACCACCTTGGGCACGGCGACCGGCCCATGGGGAAAGTCAGCGAGATCCCCAAGGCGCTCTTTCCCAGCCACGCTTGGGGGGATCTGCTTACCTCCCGTCAGGACATCGAACACTATATTTACCTGCATCTGAGTCGCCTTGTGCTCGTCAAAATTGCCCTGCAATGTTTGATGAGCCCCAGGTTCCAAGCTTTGCATCCCGGCGACCGAGTCTACGTCTTGATGGGTTTGTTGCGCATCCTTTTTACCCATCGACAAGACAGATTCTTCCTTCCAGGCATTCGCGCGGCTGTCGCTCCCCCAAGACAGCGACAGGCTCATGGAGCGTCTCATCTGCCTCTTGCCAGAAACGCCGGGCCAGAACTGGGAGCTGATGACGGATCAGTACAAGGCCAGCCTCTGGGACATCTACCCCGATACTCAAGTGTGCGGAATTGGCGAGAACGACACGGTGGTGGTGGACAATGCAAGAGGGGCACAGATTCAGTGGTCCGGCTTCAACAAGATTCGTCTGCGGAATAAGCTGACCTTAAAGCGCATGCTTTTTCTCGGCCTGATCGTCCACTCGCCTCTTATCTTTCTGATGGGCGCTATCTTCGTCGGCACGACCGACCGGACCAAATCCGATTACTTCGGTTTCCGCCCAGGGAACCAACCCAACCCTCTCTACCAAGCGGGCGTCGCCATCATGCTCATCACGCTCTTCCTCTTCATCCTGCCGGCGCCGTACTTCATCTGGAACCTGTACGCCGGCAAGATCTGGTCCTCGGAGCCGTGCTTCTTCGGCATCGAAGGGTACGTGCCCATCGAGGCCATCGAGGAACGACTCTTCGGGCCGCTGGGAGAGAAGGACCGGCGCCTGCACTGGAGCGCCTGGGGCTCGCCGCTATCACGCCACCGCGAGGGCACACCGCAACAAGAACGCGCCGTCCAGTACCAAGACGCCGACACCGACGCCGACATCGACAACCCCAACCCGCCCACCTCCACCACCGCCCTCCTCCCCCCAGACCAACCCACCACCACCACCACCACCACCACCACCACCACCACCACAATCCTCTCCATCACCTCCCTCCCCACCTACCCCATCCAAACCCTCGACCCCACCGCCCCCTGCGCCCTCTGCACCGCCAACAGCACCTCGCACTGCCCGTCCCACCCCACCATCCCCTCCCTGCAAACCCTCTCCCACACCAGCCCGATGGGCGCCCCGAAAGTCTTCACCCTCGTCGACACCTTCGCCATGACAGCCACGCTCTTCTACGCGGCCCGCCCGCCGACGGTGCTCGTGATCGGCGGCAGCGAGGGGGGCATGAAGCGCGCGATTGCGTGCTCGCTGGACGTGGCGACGGGGACGCTGTGCCGGGAGACGGTGCTGCGGCTGCCGTCGCAGAGCGTGGATTGTATGGAGCGGTTGCCGAGGGTGAGGTTGGGGTTGGGGAGGCCGTTTTGTTTGAGGGGGATGTTGGGGTTGTGAAGGGGGGTGCGGTGGAGGGGAGGGGGGTGGTGCCGAGGGTGGCGGGGGCGGTGGGCAGGGTTGGGCGGTGGTGCGTGAGGGGGGTGTTTGGGGGAAGAGGTAGCGGGGTGTGACTTCGGGAGTGTATTAGTAGTGGTGGATGATATTGAACTTGATATGAAAGCTGTAGCTGAGTGTGGTCATATCCACGTAACCGTAACGTTGCCCTTAGTCAAAATGACCGTGCTCGATAAAGGCTCGAGAAGCCCCAAGAGGAGAACCTATCAAGAGGGGTGGGACATTACTATCACATGTAATGAAGACATCATTTAGCCAGGAACGTTAATTTGGGACATGGCTATTGGTAGTTGGATCGTCGATGCTGAAGCCCTAGGGACCCAAGTAACCTCTTTATGATACCATACCTCATAACTGTGCAGGTATTCTCCGGGATCCTCTTAGATTTTATTGTCGACAGGGCACTGACATCATGTCGGATAGAATGGTCTTCGGTGCCGTCATTTTGCGGTTGTTAAGTCCACCTTGTGATCTTGGAATAGTGGATAACTAGAAGATGATGCTTTGTTGTTCCCGTTCAGCCTTGCGTATGCCACATTCTTCAAGGTACTTAGCAAGTTGCTGACGATATAGGAATTCGGGACAGCGACTCGGGATATCTACACCAACCCCCCGCCTGGGACAACGTCATAGGATCCGGAACTCCGGGCTGTCCTCGGCCGCATATCGCTAGCAGCCGTTACCCGAGCCGTCGTTTGCTTTTTGCTTTTTCCGTCGCCCAGCGAGCTCCGAATCCCCGCACTGCAACTGTATGTACCTACCTTATGTATGTCTTTAAATGCATGCGGGTGGGCATGCAGGTGATGCCAATTTGTGTCTCGCATCCGCTATGCGACCCAATCAGCAACCCCCATATTGGAGGATCACACACAAAAACTTGACAAATTCACCCCCCTTGGCATTTATGGCGGCTGCCGCCAGCTTCGAGTTTCATCTTCCCCAGACCCGAGCGCTGATCCTCCGGAGCAGCCCCGGCCGATACCGAACAACTGCCGTGCCGTCCTCCGAATTGGGCACATTTCGAGGCTTGAATATATAGAGTGACCGAGGCAGATCGAGTTCGCATCTCTAATTGGTCCCCGTCCGTTTTTATATCTGTACAATACTTGTCAAGGAGGGGCGGCTACACATGGATGATTGCCGGCGACAGGATGATGTCCACAATGGATATAGGGAATTGCTAAGTCTTGGTAATGTTATTCTTCCATATACCGTGGACTCCAGTTGTTGAATCCAAGTAAGCCGAAGTCTCATCGTCCTTTTATTCGTGGGTAACCTGGGAAGACTGGCTTTCCGCACCCTCCTTCGCATTTTCGAGACTCAGGTCATGCAGCAGAATAACCCCTTTCCGGGGAAGGCAGCCGAGAAGGCCACGAATTCGCAACTCCGAGGAAATCAGCCCACCATCCGTTCGCGACGAGGCCCTGCCTCGACCTTTGGACCGAAGATACACGACGACCAAACAAATGTGTTTTAGAGACCAGGGGAAGCTTGCGAGAAGGAGGACACGGATCCCATCCCTTACTGCGACGCGTATTCGCAGTTGACCACACCACCTCGAACTGACTTCGCTCAGTCTACACTAGTGTAGTGTAGCTGGCCCACCTTGGCTTCCTCGTCGACTCGCCGGTGGCAACAATCCAGGTACGTGCACGCTATTCTGTTTTAAGGGCAGTGGCCAGACCATTCTGTCAGCTTGGGGTTCGATGTGGGGCCCCACATCCCGCAACCACGAAGGAAACGTCGGGGGTCTCGAACACTCCGGCGTGTTTGCGCCCTTCGGAGGGAGGAGTCTAGGAGGGCGGAAGCGTCGTCGTCCCTTCACCGGGTACAATTTCCCGAGAACTTTACCACCCGCGCCGCTACCTCCTCCCGGACTTGTGCTTGCCCTCGTCGACCATGTCCGTCTCGAACTCAACAACAATGTGTGGGAGAGCCTGACCCGCTTCAATCACCCACCAAGGCAAAGTCTGGCGCTCACTATGATTGGCACGGACCTGTCCCCTGTTGCTTGATTGAGTCCCTCGTAAAGTGCCCTCCAATAATCGCACAAGGATGCAAAGTAGTTCAAACAATTCGAGAGTCAGGAAAGTCTGAGAGCAGGAATGGGATGAGAACCATGACATTTCCGATGCCGGTGTCGCCCTGCCGTTAGGTAATCGGCCTCGGAGTTGGCATCGGGCCGGTCGGTAAGATGACGGTGGTGGCTTGAGTTCTCAGGGCATTTTCTAGTTGGAGCTGAATTGGAAGGGCCTTCGACAAGTGAGACCTGAGACCGGGGGTGTGGGAGCGAGATTTGGAGATGCAAGTTCTGGTGGCGTGTTTGGCCAGTGTTGTGAAAAATCACGGCGCCACAGTGGCACGGCAAGGTTTATGTAAAATGAATATTTGCAGAAGATGCGTAGACCTTGTTGCTGCTTCTGCATGTGAAGAGTCACCACTGCAACCTCATACCTGGCCTGCGCGCATGCCCTGGCTCAAGCCTGATCGAAAGTCCCTCGCTACCGTTGGGGGCGGTTGCGGGCTCAAAGGGAAGAAGCGAAACCGACAAATCGAGAGACGCTCAGACAATGACAGGGCTTCGGGGGTGGACCCGGTGACAAAGATCCTCGCTCCTTGGCGCAAATCCCGGATGAAATCCCTGCGAGCATCACGTGAGATGGGCGACTGATGGGGTGAAGAACATTGGGAAGGCGAGGAGTGGCAACAAATCCTTCCAGTTCTCTCCTGCAAATCGTACAGCTCGATCACGCTTCTTCGAGTTGGACAATCCGGACCCTTCACCGCCGCGACACTAACTAATAACTCCTCGTTCGCGCAACGCTTGTCGGGGTCAGAGCCCTTGAGTCCGTCCCCGAATCCAATCAAGCCATCAGGCCAGGTTTTAAGCTAAAGTTGGAAATTGCTAGCGGGGCAGTCTCAGATAACCATCTCGTCGCGTTGGCGCCGTCGATTTTGGTACGCGCCAGACGAAGGCTAGAAGGACTTTAATTCGACAGTCTTGGTGGATGGGTGAGCTTTGATAGGGATGGGTCATTCACGGACCTGCTGATGGAAGTCCCAAGAGAATGGATAGACAGACTCACAGACCACATTTTGTATTGAATTGAGACAGGGAACACTGGATGAAGCTGGTCCCTTGATCGCCCCGCATCACCCCAGACTCCCGAGGCACCAACCATGGCTGTGGGATCTTGGAAACGGCTGTTGCGCAGCACAGACCGCCGGCCCGGGCAGCCATGCGCGCCATGTCCCAAACCCGTCTGATCCCCCGGTCCCATGCACATGATGCACAAGCACACACACGATGCACACAATGCTGGGCGGAGATGCTGAAGGCAAGGTTGCACGGACCGCCAGGGACCTGGAACTTTGCTGAGGAGAACTGGAGGACTGGAGAACCGGTGTGGGGAAGGAGGGGAAAAGATGCTGCAGCTCGAGAGGGAGACTCCCTGTTGGCCAACGCATTCGCAACGGAGTGGACAATTTGGGCTCCATTTGGCAACTCCTCCGCAGCTCTCCAGACGCACTCCAAAACCGATCAAGTTTCTGGCCTAGCCGACCCTCCAGCGGTAGCAGGGAAGGACGGGGACTCGGGCAGGCACAGAGTACGGAGGGCATTTGGTCAAGCCAGGGTAAAACCCCGACAGCCAGGACCTGGCTCGTCGTGCCCGGCCGCTAAATGGAAGAATTCGAGGGGTTCCCGATCGGTCAGCGCTGTTTCTCGAACCCCACTCACTAACTTCGACTAACTTGCCCTAAGCTGCCTTTGAGTTAGGGGAGCCTCGACCCCAATTGGCCCGCACCACCGAGCCCGAGCTGCACACCCGGCTCGGTTAGAGCGTTGCGCTCGAGCCCTCTGTACATCGTCACATCGGTGTTCGTTCAATGCTGCAGCCCGCCACCTCCCCCCCCCGCTTCCGCTCCTCCCCCGGATTTCCAGGATTCCACAAGCCCTTTTTAAAACTTTGCACAACCCGGTTCGCCATGTGGGCTGCATCGGGCGACCGTCGTATATTTCATTTCAGTTAATTCCCTCGCCTCCCGCCCGCTGTGCTTCCGTCTGCCGTTCCCTGCTCTCCTTGTTGTCGGGAACCTTGGCTGCGACTGCGAAGTCTGCGACCATGACCGCGCTTCCATCATGAGCAGCGACGACAACGGAGCCCATCATGCCTACCAGAGCGACAATGGGGACGCCTCCATCTTCTCGCAAACCCTCGTCGCCGTCTGGGTGTTAACATGCGCCTCCGGCGCCTTCCTCTTCGTGCGCCTGTGGTGCCGCCATCGCTTCTCAAAGCTATGGTGGGATGACCTTGTCCTCTCGATATCATGGGTACGTCTGGGAATCGCCATGGGCTGCATTATGGGTGGCAGCGAGAGATGGGATGGAAATGGGGCCAAGTGACTCAGGTTCTAACCCTCCCGGACAGTGCATCTTGTTGGTTGCCGCCGCCCTCCTCGCCCGCACCATCACGTCCGGCTACGCCTCCGACGATGATAAACGCCAATTCTTCCTCTTCCAAAACACGTCGACTTCGATGACCACCCTCGCCACGGCATGGACCAAGGTCGCTTTCGCCATCACCCTCTCCCGCATTGTTCGAAACCGATTCCTGCTCTACTTTCTCTGGTTCGTCATCGTCACAGCAAACTTAATCCTCATCCCGGGCATGCTGTCCATCTGGATTCCCGCTTGCGAGGACCCGCGCTCCATCTTCCGACCGCAACACACCAAGTGCTTCAACCTCATCTACCTCCAGTACCTCGGCGGGACAACCATCGGTACGACGACCCGGCTGGGATCCGTGGGGACGAACCGAAGCTGACTCCGTTATTAGTGTACGGCGGCGTAATCGACGTTCTACTCGCCCTATTCCCCTGGTTCATCATCCGCAAACTCCTACTCGAAACACGAGAAAAGTGGGGTCTCACACTCGCCATGAGCCTGGGCGCCATCACGGGCACCATTGTCATCTTCCGCGCATTTTACCAAATGAGATCAATCGACAACAATTACCGTACGCGTCGAGCATCCAAGGGGATCTGCAGACAGGGGTGGCTAACCAGCGAACAGATTTTATGGTTTTCATGTCCATTTTTAACTTCCTCGAGCCGGGCGTCACCATCATCGCCCAGGCAATCCCCATGTTCCGCGTCCTCGTCGTCAACGTAAAGAGGGGCTCCAACGCGGTCCGCATCAGCTCACCGACAGGAGCCGCCGGGACCGAGAACGAGTCACCACCGATCCGGAGCTGGAATAGCAAGCGGCTTAACCCACTCGAAGTCGACGAGGAATTGATGCACGTGCGCATCGGCCCGGGAGGCCGCATCGTCCACGTAGCAGGGCCAGAGGGCTCGGACGACGATCTGAAGATTTATGACGGCAGAAAATAGCAAAAACAATAATGATACCATTTGCTTTCCTTGTTTACAACATATCGCTCCACATTCATGCTCGTATTTGGTCCACCCATGTCGTTGAGTCGTCATCAAACTTGGTTCAGGGGGGAGGTCTGCACGGTCCATCGGGTTGGCTAGCCTTGCAAAGCACCAAGGAGGCAATTCGTTCGTCCTCAACGACGATCTGGCTGAGAAGGGGTGGGTCCCGCAACTTGCGAGGCAGGGTGATGGGATTGGCTGGTGTTGCTCGATTTGGCAACGACACGCGGGAGCTCGGATTCAAACCGACCAACGTTGTCACCAGCGGGCTCAACACCATGGACTGAGGGCTCGTGACACGAATCCGCGGAATGAATGCGATGCTGCCTGACAACACATGATGAGAAACAAAACAAAAAAAAAAGCATAAGTAATGAGACCATACTCGCCTCGGTTTCGAATATGGTCGACAACAATTTCCGGTTTACAGAGCCCGCGCTCGTGACAATACTCGTTTCCCAGTAGGGCTGCAAACCCGCATCTCGCTATGAGGTATCTTCACCTCGTCATTGCCCTGGCAGCTCCGCTGGTGGCGGCATCTGCATGCCGACCTCCGAAGTGGAGAGTCGGGCAACCCGTCCAGACCTCCAGCGGCGCCGTCCAGGGTCACGCCGCATCCACGGCCTCAGAGGTGTCCGAGTATCTCGGTATTCCCTATGCTCAGCCGCCTGTGGGAGCCCTCCGGTTCCAGCCTCCGGTCCGGTACACTGGAAAGGGGAAAATTGGCGGCAAGAGCTTTGTAAGTGCCGCCCTTCCAGCCTGGGGCGCCGACGCGCTGACAAGTGACAATCCAGGGGCCCGCATGCTTTCCGTCTAACATTAGCGCCTACGATGCCGACTTCCCTCAGGAACTTATCGACGTGTACGGTATTACTGAAGTTGGCCGCCGCATCCTCGCAACCATCACGAACCCGGGTATCCCGGTGAGCGAGGATTGTTTGACGCTGAATGTCTGGACTAAGCCGCAGACCGGCGAGAAGCGCAAGCCTGTCATGGTCTACATCCACGGCGGCTCTTTTGTTTCAGGTAACATTACGCCGGCCTCAATGGATGACTTTACACTGACCATTTGTAGGTAGCTCTGCCGTGCCGGCATACAACGGCCAGTTCTTTGCCGACGAAGAGGACGTCGTTCTAGTGACCATCAAGTAAGCATCCCTAAGCCTCGTCACGAAGTTGACCCTTTGCTAACTACCAACCCAGCTATCGTCTCACCTTCTTTGGATTTCCGGGTAATCCACATGGGCACCAAAACCTCCGGTCTGCTCGATCAACGTATGGCTATTGAATGGGTCCGCGACAATATCGCATCCTTTCGGGCGGCGACCCGAAACGCATCACTCTGTTTGGCGAGTCCGCGGGTGGTGCCTCCGTTGATCGTAAGTTAAAACCACCCACTCAGTCTACCACCCCGGAAGACCCCCGTCCAGCGTCCATACCTCCCACCCCCGGGCCCTCAACTCCACCCAACGTCTAACCCCTATTCAGACTACTCCTTCGCCTGGCCGCACGACCCCATCGTCGCTGGCCTCATCTCTATGTCCGGCACCGCCAGCGGCATCACCCCGCGCCCTACCTCCCTCGCCACCTCCCTCTGGTACAACACCACGCGCGCCCTCAACTGCGGCGACGCCCACGCCCCGCCCTCCACCCAGCTCACCTGCATGCAATCCATCCCGGCCCCCGCCCTCATCGCCACCCTTCTGAACACCATCTCCGCCCCCCACTCCACTCCCTACTCCCCCACCATCGACGAGCACCTCGTCTTCACCAACCCCAACCACCACCCCACCGCGCACATCCCCCTCCTCATCGGCACCACCGACAACGAATCGGGCCTCTTCCGCGTCTTCGTCCCCCCCCAGCAACCCACCCTCACCCCCAGCCAAGAAAACATCTTCTGGCACGGCCAGAACCAACGCAACTTCGTGTGCCCCGCCGCCGCGCGCGCCGGCCGCTCCGCCCGCGAGGGGATCCCCACCTGGCGCTATCGCTGGCACGGCGTGTTTCCGAACACGGAGTTGGCGACCACCCCGCCAAGTGGCGCGTACCATGACTCGGAGGTCGCGGTGCTGTTTGGGACGGTGGATGGGTCGGTGGTGGGGGATACGGAGGGGGAGGGGGGAGGTGGGGAGGTATATGCGGGTGGCGTGGGCGGGGTTTGCGACGGAGCCCGTGGGGGGGGTTGGAGAGGTATGGGAGAGGGGGTGGGGGAAATGGGGGGAAGGGTAAGGGGGAGGGAAAGGGGGAGGGAAAGGGGAAGGAGAAGGGGTGGCCGAGGTACGTGGCGGGGGAGGAGACGTTGGTTAGGTTGGAGGTGGGAGGGAGAAGCCGGGGGCGAGTATGGTTAGGGGGGATTTTTATGATGATGGTTGCTGAGGTTGGTTGGAGAGGAGTGGGAAAGCTGGAGGAAGAGCAAGATAACCAGTTGAGGCAGCAGAAAAAGGAGGGAAGCTGAGAGGAGCAGATGGCAGTCGGCGAGGTCCAGTTACTCATTGATTTTGTTTTATTATTTTTATACTTTCACTTCTCACGTTTCTGACCCTTCCCTGTCAAAGTCTTCTCCCAAAAGACCAACCAGACCCAAACTGGCACGCAAATCCACAACATAGCTCCCGGGTCCCGAATTCCATGTCTTGTCAACCCGATGCCAGACACTCACCTTGCCTCCAACACTGCATAATTTCCACACCCGCGCGTCGACACGTGCGTTCGTGTCCCTCTTCGACCTCGATTTCTAAGCAGAGGCTTCCTCGACGCGTGTCGACGGGCGGATGCTGACCCGCCTAGATCTCTTCCCTTGGATTTCTAAGCGCCAAGCCGCCCCTACGTTACCCCTGAATGCAGACGACGAAACCTCAACACCAACAGTTCCCATGAAATAACGGAGGGGAAGGCCCAAAACAGACATGCTAAACAATTAAACGACTCGGCGTGAGTCACTTGTGGTCTTGGCCTGGAAAGATTACTGATCTGTGCAAGAAGCAATGAGGCTGAAGGCATGCATCGCAAGGCTGAAGCATGGTGTTGAGTGTGCGTTGAGTTAGGAGACGAAGAAATCGCTTGGTTAGAGAGATGTGATGGTCAGAAAACGGTATCATGGCTCTGGCTTTGATGTGAGGAGCCGACTATAAAGCCATCCTCCCGCCACCTCTCCATCCCACTCTCCTCACCACCACAAACAACTTCAACAGCACAATCACCACACTCATCAAACACCAAACCCTCTCGACCCCAATCAAAATGGCCACCATCACCTCCATCGGCATCGGCAACATGGGCGCGGCCCTGGCCTCCGCCCTTCTCAAATCCGCCAACCCCCCTCAACTCACCATCTGGAACCGCACGGCCGACCGTCCCCAGGTCAAAGCCCTCATCACCTCCGGCGCCACCTTCGAGCCCTCCCTCACCGCCGCCATTGCCCGCAGCACCACCATCCTGATCTGCCTGCTCGACTACGCGGCCATCACCACCGCACTCGCCCCCCTCTCCGCCACCACCTCCACCACCGACAACAACGACACCCCCGGCCCCCTCACCGGAAAAACAATCATCAACCTCACCAACGGCACGCCCACCCAAGCCCGCGCCATGGCCGCCACGCTCACCGGGCTCGGCGCGGCCGCCTACTTCGACGGTGGCATCATGGTGACGCCGCAGCTGGTGGGCACGCCGGCGTCCTTTGTCATTCTGAGCAGCGGCGGCGGCGGTCACGGTACCAGCCAGGCCGAGTTTGAGGATGGTGGCGTGGCGGCGCTGCTGCAGCCGGTGGGCAAGGTGGAGTACGTGGCCGGGGACGATGCGGGCGCGGCGTCGCTGTATGATGTGGCGGCGTTGACGGCCATGTATGGCATGTTTATGGGGGCGTTTACGGGGATTGCGTTGTTGGGGAAGCAGAAGGGGCAGGATGATGGAGGGGAGAAGGGGGTGGTTCAAGAAGGCGGTGGAATGGGGTCATGGTGCCGGTGCTGACGGCGCTGGTGCCGTATGTGAGTCTGCTGGCGGAGCAGGTGGATAAGGAGGATTGGATGAATGATTTGGGTAATCCACTGGCGATGCAGGCGGCGGGCATGCGGAATATCCTGCAGACGTGTGAGGAGGAGGGCGTGGATGGGACGGGGATGCGGTTTATCTCGCAGCTCATGGATCGCGCGGTGGAGGAGGGGTTTGGAGCCGGTGGTGTCGCGGCTATCGCGAAGTATCTGTTTAAGTGAGGACGGAGTGATCCTCGGGAGTAGGGACGGGGCAGGTGTGCACATCTAGCTTCAGTTGCCTTCGGTGTGCTGCTAGATTGGAGATGCCTCGCTTGTTGTTCTGTCACATTAAAACATCACGTCAGAAGATCCGGCGCTGCGCAAGTTACTTCTTGATATAGGTTCTCCATAGTTACAACTCATACCTCTACGCTAGGGCTTCTTGCAAGTTAACCACAATACCGGATATTTATGATTCTTCACGACGACACGCTGAAAGACGTAGTTACACGTTACCATGTAACCACTATCCGCGCTTCATCCTAATTTCTTTGGTTGTTTCAGCCCTGGATGAGCTGGCGCGGTCCAAATCTGACTTGATGCCCAAATCTGCCAAAACAAGACGCTCGTGGGCGGCTGGGAGGGAGTTAGATATATCTTTCTTTCAGCTCGTGCAGGGACTCACTCAGTGTGCCCAAATCTGCCAAAACAAGACGCTCGTGGGCGGCTGGGAGGGAGTTAGATATATCTTTCTTTCAGCTCGTGCAGGGACTCACTCAGTGGGGTGGCCCTGACTCGGCGAACTGGGGGGAGCACCTTGACCACAGTGCTCCACGGCGTAGTCAGGAACGCGGGGCCGTTGAGATCGTCGTCCGGGCGGAAGATGGACGCGTGCATGGTGAATTCGCCGACATAGTCGACCTTGACGCTATCGAAAAGGAAGTGCATATTTCCCGCCGTATCCGTGTTTGGGGATAATTCCTTCGCCAACGAGATTTGGCGGTCGATATGTTCAACCACAGGGCTCGGATCCGCAACTCGAATGCCGCTGTTGTTGTAGAAGATGGATACGGTGGCTTTATACCGCGGCAGAGACCCTGGTACTCTGTCCGGTGGGTTGGTAACCGTGACGACGAACGGCCGGAATTTGGTCGCAATTTGGACACAGTCTTGGGGCTGGATAAGGAACGTTGCCGACATGGAGCCATGCACTCCCGTGAGCTTTTCGCAGAACCAGGGATGGACCGGGACCAACTCCCTGGCTGTGGAGGCCTTTGCTATCTCAAATTTAAGGGAAGATTTGGGCTCCTGGATCGCGCTGGATTTGGAGTGGCCTCGAGAATTTTCGGTAACATACTTGACCCTCATCTTGTTGATGTTTTAATATCAAGAACAAAGTAGAAAGGGTCGAAGGGTGGCAGTTTAAGGATTGATCTTTGCCTGTATTCTAATATGGCTGCCTATGCTCTGGCAAATAAGCTGCGTGTACAAGCTGTATGCAGGATGGCAGGTACCTCTGTCTCAGCTCCTGTTTCTGCACAGCCGTGGGTAGTAACGGGAAGGAAAGGGTCTGCAGGGGAAGCAGGAGCATCCAGTTATAAAATTATATATTGCAACGGGCTCGTAGCAGCTTCCTGATACCTCTTTCGCTGCTTTCCATCCTGTGTTGGTTAACAAAGCATGTGCAAACTGTGTGCTTAGAACTCGAGGACATCAATGGTCTTGGTTCCCAGGCACCTGCTACCTATGGCACCATTCTTTTGTTGATTGTGGTGTCATAGTCTCAACACCCTCCTCCTCCACAGGGGCGACCACATCTAGGGTAATAAAGCGTCGTAGTTACTTTGACAACGTGGAAATTGGGGAGTATCTTGTTACGTGGGGTTGGATTAGCGCTCTGGTAACCCAGCATGCATACTACCTGCATGTGGATGAAGGAAGTAGTATTCCGGTTTCATTGACATTACCTATAGCATCAGAATGCACCAAGATGAGGCTCAAACAGGAATAAACCCAGATTGCTACACTGCTATGAACCTAGATACCATAAATGCAAACAACGCCCACCAATGCAATGCTCAGTGCAGCCATTCGTCCACCTCTACCACACACCCTCAACCCTCACCACCACCACCACCCCATCCCGTCCACACTCAAAACCCCGCCAACGGATTCGGATTCTCCCCCCTCCACCCCCCCAACACCCGTCCCTGCACACCCGCAACCACCCCCCCAAACCTCCCCGCCAACTCCCTAAACCCCCCCCAACGTCTTCAAGTTCCCCCTCCCCAAATCCTGATTCACCACCCCCACCATCCCCCCCTTTACAAATGCATCCCCTGCGCACAATAAAACCACACCGGCTTCCCCATCATCCCTCACCACAAACTGAAACACCTCCCCCGGACTGCACCGCCCCGCCATCGGCGCGCGCGGGGACGGGGAAGAAGCCCGAGTCGAAGGAGGCGGCGTCCTTGGGGAGGCAGGGCGCGTCGAAGGCGGCTTCGACGACGCTGTGGTTGGCGGGCAGGAAGTGGAATTCGATGACGGAGCCGGGGGTGGCGACGATGTTGTCCGGGTCGAAGCGCAGGCCGCCGCGGCCGGCCACGACGGTGTGGGTGGTGAGGGGGGAGGCGTTGGTGAGGTTGGGGGGTGGGGTGGTGGTGGTGGTGGGTGCTGCGGTGGTGCCCCTGGGGAGGGCGAGGAGGGTGGCAGCTGTTGCCAGGGCGGCGAGGAGGGTGTGGTGGTTGAGCATGGTGGTGGTTTGTTGGTGGGTTTGGGGTGTGGTTTCGTCGTTTGGCGGTGAATTAGGTCGTGTTAATCGAGTCTTTGGCAATAGAATGCTCAAAAGCGTGGAACTTGTAAGCAGATGATGATGAGGCTGGTGATGTGATGATGAAAATGAAGGAAATATGTTGGGAGATTTATCATGTTATATGCAGCTACAAAAGAACCAGCAAGTTCACAATCACGACCACAATTAGCTCACAACCCACGATATCACGATGCGCAGTCGCGCTTAGGTTCCGGGCCTGATGACTTCCGGAAGCTGTGCCACGAGGCGCGGCTGTCCAGCGCGCTCATCCGCCGGACCAAGCTATCGCCGCGTGGCTCGTGCTTAAATTGAGTGTGTGGCCTTCACCCGACGCTCGAAATAGACGGGGCTGACGGATCGGGAACTTGCCCATCCGGTGAGCAGACCGCTTGGCGCGTACCGCCTGGGTGCTGTGTAAGCGTCTTCTTTTACCGCGGCAGGGGACTGGCCGCCGTTTTACAACACATGCGGCAGTGGTTGATGTGAGCTGCCCAATTCGGGATGTGATTTCAATGCGCTGTAAACATCTTTATTCTTCCATCTTGGTGTTGTGCTCGATAGCGTTGGATCTGGGAGATATCAAAATGAAACTTGGGGGCACGCTTTCCCCGTGCTTGAACTTAACGTGGGGTCTGAGGAAGAGAACTCAGTTGAAGAAATTAAGAATACAAGAGGGCCAGGGCGGCCAAGAATGGAAAGAGATATGATGGGCCTATATATGGTGTCGGAAAAGAACCGAGACCAAAAATGTACAAGAATTAAAAGGCTAGGTAGGATTGAGTTTCCACGTGCAAATGTTGATCGCATTGGATATCCTTTTTTGGCTGGAAACGCCATGAGTGGACGGGAATTTTAAAGGCATTGCGAGTACCAGTCGTTCTGCTTTTTGCAGGTTGTGCCACAGGTGCAGGTCTTGCACCCAGTAAAGCCATTACCGCCGCACTGCCCATACTTCTCGGTGACGCACGAAACAGGAGAGGAAGACTTGCTGGGGGAAGCGGACGCCGAGGTTTTAACGGAGGGGACGGCGCTGGTTGGCGTGGCGGGCTCGGGAGCCGAACCCGGAGTCGAGGTGGGCTTCGGAACTGAACCCGGGGTCGAGGTGGGCTTGGGGACGGCGACGGGGCTCGAGCTGGAGCTAGGCTTGGGCAAGGCTGGTGTGCTGGGTTTGCTACCACCACTGGAAGGGGCGGCGATGGCGGGGAAGCTAGAGTCGTCGTTGCGCCTGCAGCCGGTGCGGGCAACGAGCTCGGCGGGACACTGCACTTGACGGAAAGTGAAGTTCGGGTTATCGGCGTTCTTAAACCAGTCAAATCGCCAGTAGCAACCGGGCTTGAGGGCCTCCGGGAACGCATCGCACTCGCTGCGGGATGACACGCCACCGTACCGCTGGCCGCCGAGGCCACCAAACTGGGGCGAGCAGCCGTCGAAGATACCGACACCGCCGCCGGGGATGTTGAGGTCAAAGTGGTTGCTGCCCAGGTCGCCACCCGTGCTGGTGGACTGAACGACCATCTTCTTGCCGGCCACGGGACCCGAAGTGAAGGTAAGCCTGGGAGTAATTAGACAAGTCATTGCAGTTTGCTGTTCACCCTGGACTACTCACTCATAGCAGGAGCAGCACCACGAAGCCTCTGACCCGCCAGCAAGCGACGTGGCCGCAAATCCATAGGCGAAGTCATCGTTCAAGGCCCAGGGCGTCTGGTCGGCGCAGGAGAAGGCCGAGCCACCATCGCAACCAGATTTGGCGTTGGAATCCGTGATGCGCTGGAAGTTGGCACTGCAAGCGTAGACTGGCTGGTTCACAAGGGCTTTTCCGGGCCAAGAGCATGATGGTTTGCAGCAGTCCCAGTACCTGTCTGGTGTCAGTGACACTGGCCTTCCCCCAAGGCATACAGATATCCCTGGAGAGCCCACCTGGTGGATTTGCCATCGGCAGCGTATGCCACGAGGGGCAGGGCAGCAGCCAAGGCTGTACGAAGAATGGGAGTAGAGCGCATCCTGTGCGGTGGTTTATGAAGCCGTCAAGGGAAAGGTAAAGGAGTGAAACCTTGAAGAGAAACTAAAAATGGGAGGACGGCTTTAAGTGATGCCTGAGCGATGGGTTGCCAGCGATTCAACATTGAGGACAGAGCTCACTTGATATACTCCTCTCGTCATGTCCCTGTCACTGATAAGACCGCCCCCCGACGACCGAAGGATCCGAGCACACGCCATGTCGACGTTTTTTGACGGCGACCCGCTTGGCAACGTTGAGACCCAGGAGCGTACATTAGCGTAGACGAAATGGTGTTTGGCGGCAAGGAGCACAGGATGCACAACCAGACCCCGCCCAGCCGCAGGAGACCAGGATCACTGCGCACTTCCCACGGCGCTGGCGTCCACGATGAAACAGAAGTGGTCCCACACGTTCGGGTTCTGGACCACAGGGCTACCAAAGACCGTTTAATTGTGTCTGTATCGGGAATGGCGCCGTCCAACCCTCGATCTCCAATTCTCCATACGCGTCGGGCGGCGGATGGCCGGATCGCCGATTTAGTCGCCTCGACGAGGACGCTAGAAGAAGGAACATCATGGAAGGAAATGGTTGCCCGATTGACTGGCTTCCTTCTGGTTGAGAACCGTGCTGAGAGTAATGACTCGAGTGCAGGGAACGAGGAAGACCATTCAGTGAGAAAATGACTGAGTGCAGCACAAGCTGACTCGCTAAATAAATGGCATGTGAGAAAATGCCCAGGAGAGTTTGAGTTGGTGCGTTGGTGCCCCCACGGGGTTAATTGCAGGCCAGCAAAGATGGGGCTTTGTTGTGGACCCGAGGAACTCAAGTGGCGTGTTCAGGTGTGGCGTCTTCAGGTGTGGCACCCAACAAAGCTGCGCCAAGACTGATAGCTGCATAGGGACTAGCGGATTTTGCCGCGTCTTTCAAGCCTTGTGAAAATCGACGGGCAACCGATCGCCTTCGAACCTCAACAACCAACTTCAAACCGAAACAATCACCATCCACGATCCCTCGACCGCGGTTACTTTCGACCCGAAATTATACAATTACTTCCTAATCAATCATCTACCATCACATCACGGGACACAATTTAGTCCTTGATAAGATACACCATCTGCGCACGTCGAGTTGATACACCGACCGCGTCCCCGCATCCTGTGGCGATTTCTAAGCTCGCTCATCCCACATCGTGACTGAGCTTCTGTTATTTCTTCTTGCTGTAGCCGGCAATTCTTACCTACCTCTATTCCGTTTCTCCCACACCTCTAACCCCTCCTTCGCCAAGGACACGAGTTCTTAAAAAACAAGACCGACACCCGATTTCTAATTCAGCGGCCACATTCTCTCGAGCATCTTGTCTCGACATGGCCGACTTTGCGACCCAAGGCCAGTTTGGCTTCGGAGAGCGCTATGATAACGAGAACGAGCAATACGACCCCGAGCCCGAGCTCGAGGAGGCCGAGCTCGAGGATGCCGAAGACACCGATGACACCATCACAACCGAAGACACCTGGGATGTTATTCAATCACACTTCGACTGCAAAGGCCTTGTTGCGCAACAGATCGACTCGTTTGACGAGTTCACATCTACCACAATCCAGTCTCTCGTCGATGAGTACGCTGACTTGACTCTCGATCACCCGAACCCGGGCGATGATGGCGGCCGGGACATTGCGATGCGGAGATACGACATTCATTTCGACAATGTGCTGATTTCCAAGCCGATGCTCACAGAAGCCACCGGCGAAACGACGAGCCTTTTGCCCTACGAATGCCGCGACCGCAACCTGACTTACTCTGCGCCTATGTATTGCAGAGTAACGAAGCGTGCTCGGGTCGCTATCAACGAAGAGGTTGCTTTAAAGGACATGGACGAAGAGCAGCAGGAGTACATGGCCCGGACAGGCGAGGCCCCGAAAACCATCCGTTGGGAGGAGGAGGATACCGGGCCGACGGAGGGTTCTGGAAAGGGAGGGGAGGATAAGGGCGACCTAATCTTCCTTGGCAAGTTGCCAGTCATGGTCAAGTCACAGGTCTGCCATCTGGCTGGTGAGGACGACGAGTCCCTCTTTCTTCTCAATGAATGCCCTTACGATCAGGGTGGCTACTTCATCATCAACGGCAGCGAAAAGGTGCTCATCGCCCAAGAGCGTTCGGCCGCCAATATCGTTCAGGTGTTCAAGAAGCCGCCAGGAGGTAGCGTCTCGTACCAGGCCGAGATCCGCTCAGCGCTGGAGAAGGGTTCACGACTTATTTCGTCGTTGCAGATGAAACTGCACTCCAAAGGCTCGCCCGAGAAGGGAAGGCTGGCGAACACAGTCAGCGTCACGCTGCCATATGTGCGCGAGGACGTTTCACTCGGCATCGTTTTCCGCGCTCTTGGCATCGTGTCCGACGAGGACATCCTCAACCACATTTGCTACGATCGGACAGACACACAGATGCTCGAGGCCCTGAGGCCCTGCATCGAAGAAGCTTTCTGCATTCAAGACCGCGAGATCGCTCTCGATTTCATAGGAAAGCGTGGCAACGGTAACGCCGGCCAAAACCGTATGAACCGCGTGAGGGCCGCAAAGGACTTGCTCCAGAAGGAAATGTTGCCGCATATTTCACAGACTGAGGGTTGCGAGACCCGGAAAGCCTTCTTCTTGGGGTACATGGTGCACAGGTTGCTCCAGTGCGCCCTTGGTCGCCGGGACCCCGACGACCGCGACCATTTCGGCAAGAAGAGACTGGACCTTCCCGGCCCTCTCCTGGCCAAGCTGTTCCGGAACGTTATCCGGCGCATGACGCAGGACCTGATGTCGTACATGAAGCGTTGCATCGACACCAACAAGAACTTCTCTCTCCCCTTGGGTATCAAGCACTCGACACTCACCAATGGGTTGAAGTACTCACTCGCGACGGGTAACTGGGGCGACCAGAAGAAGGCGGCGAGCTCCACTGCCGGTGTGTCGCAGGTGTTGAACCGCTACACTTTTGCCTCGACCCTGTCCCATTTACGGCGCACCAACACACCCATCGGGCGCGACGGAAAGCTTGCAAAGCCCCGCCAGCTTCACAACACTCATTGGGGATTGGTGTGCCCGGCTGAGACGCCCGAAGGCCAGGCTTGCGGTCTCGTCAAAAACTTGTCACTGATGTGCTACGTCAGTGTGGGCACCCCCGCGGACCCGATCGTTGAGTTCATGATCGCCCGAGGTATGGAAGTGCTCGAGGAGTACGAACCACTCCGATATCCGAACGCCACCAAGGTGTTCGTAAACGGCACTTGGGTGGGTGTTCACCAAGACCCAAAGCATCTTGTCACGCTGGTTCAGGGGCTGCGGAGAAAGAACGTTATCTCGTTTGAGGTTTCGCTCGTTAGAGACATCCGCGACCGTGAGTTCAAGATCTTTTCAGATGCGGGTCGGGTGATGAGGCCGCTGTTCACGGTGGAGCAAGAACCGAATGGCGAGAGCGGCGCTGAGATGGGCGCACTGATCCTGAACAAGGATCATATTGGGCGCCTGAAGATGGACGCAGAGCTGGGCAAATACCACCCGGACTACTGGGGCTGGCAAGGCCTGTTGAAGTCGGGCGCTATTGAGTATCTTGATGCTGAGGAGGAGGAGACGGTCATGATCTGCATGACCCCCCAGGATCTTGATCAGTTCCGTGCCCGCAAGATGGGAAGGATCGAGCCGGACAACTCCGGGTTGGGCAATAACCGGATCAAGACGAAACCAAATCCGACAACTCACATGTACACGCACTGCGAGATCCATCCGAGCATGCTCCTCGGCATCTGCGCAAGCATCATCCCCTTTCCTGATCATAACCAATCGCCCAGGAACACATACCAGTCCGCCATGGGCAAGCAGGCGATGGGCTTTTTCCTCACCAACTACTCGCGGCGCATGGACACCATGGCCAATATTCTCTACTACCCGCAGAAGCCGCTTGCCACCACGCGGTCGATGGAGTTCCTCAAGTTCCGGGAACTGCCGGCCGGCCAGAACGCCATTGTCGCAATCGCTTGTTACTCTGGTTACAACCAAGAGGACTCTGTGATTATGAATCAGAGCAGCATCGACCGCGGTATCTTCCGCAGTCTCTTTTTCCGCTCGTACACCGACTGCGAGAAACGAGTCGGTATCAACATTGTCGAGCAGTTCGAAAAGCCCAACAGGAGCGACACGCTCCGTCTGAAACACAGCACCTACGACAAGCTTGATGCCGACGGCATTGTGGCCCCCGGCATCCGCGTCTCAGGCGAGGATATCATCATCGGGAAGACGTGCCCCATCAACCCAGACAACGCTGAACTCGGCCAGCGGTCCAACCAGCACGTCAAGCGGGACGCGTCCACGCCGCTCCGCAGCACGGAAAGCGGCATCATTGACCAAGTCGTCATGACGACCAACCAGGACGGCATGCGCTACGTCAAGGTCAGAGTCCGCACCACCAAGGTCCCGCAGATCGGCGACAAGTTTGCGTCTCGCCACGGTCAAAAGGGTACCATTGGTGTTACATACCGACAGGAGGACATGCCCTTCACGGCCGAGGGCATCACGCCCGACATCATCATCAACCCTCACGCCATTCCGTCGCGTATGACCATCGCCCATTTGATCGAGTGCCTGCTGTCCAAGGTGTCAACGCTCAAGGGCATGGAAGGCGACGCGACCCCCTTCACCGACGTGACGGTTGACAGCGTGTCGGACCTCCTCCGCGAGCACGGCTACCAGTCCCGCGGCTTCGAGATCATGTACCACGGCCACACGGGCCGCAAGCTGCGGTCGCAGATCTTCTTCGGCCCCACCTACTACCAGCGCCTGCGCCACATGGTCGACGATAAGATCCACGCGCGCGCCCGCGGCCCGCTGCAGATCATGACGCGCCAGCCCGTCGAAGGTCGTGCACGTGACGGTGGCCTGCGGTTCGGTGAAATGGAGCGTGATTGCATGATTGCGCATGGCGCGGCGAGCTTCTTGAAGGAGCGTCTGTTTGAGGTGTCGGATGCGTTCCGCGTGCACATCTGTGAGATTTGTGGCCTGATGACGCCCATTGCGTACGTTCTTTTTTTTTTTTTATCCCCGTCGTGATTCGTTCATGGATGGTGGTGATACTGACCGAGATATTGCAGAAACCTGACCAAGCAGTCG